AAGGATAATCACAAAGTACTGTGAAGGACTGTATTCCAATGAATTCAGAAATGTGGAAGAAATGGATAAGTACTTGGAAAAACAGTCCCTCCCTAGATTATCTCAGACAGAAGTCAAGAACCTCAACAAACCCATAGCAAAATAAGAAATAGAGAGGCTTATCATGAAGCTACCAACAAAAATGTCTGCACTTCACAGCAGAATTCTATCAAGCATTCAAGGAAGAGTTGCCACCGATCCTCCACAAGGTATTCAAGAGCATAGAAAAGTATGGCAACTCCTAAACTCTTTCTATGAAGCCAGCATAACTTTGATACCTAAATAGGGCAAAGGCCCCACAGGTATAGAGAACTACAGACCGATATCTCTAATGAACATAGATGCAAAAATCCTTAACAAAATTTTGGCCAATAGAATACAAAAGTATATAAAACATATCATCCACCACAACCAGGTAGGATTCAGAGATGCAGGGATGGTTAAAATCCGAAAAATCAATATTATATATCAATAAGAAAACGTTTAAGAACCATATGATAACATCCATAGATGCAGAAAAGGCATTTAACAACATCCAACACCTATTCCTAATTCAGACACTCATGAAGATCGGAATGGAAGAAAAATTCTTCCAGTTAATACAAGCTATCTATGAAAAGCCAACAGCCAACATCATAGTCAATGGAGAAAAGAAAAACAATCCCACTGGAAAAGGGTACAAGACAAGGATGCCCCTTGTCCCCACTTCTATTCAATATTGTACTGGAGGTTCTAGTTAAAAACATAAGACAGTGGAAAGACATTAAAAGTATCCAAATGGGAGAGGAGGAAGTGAACCTATCGCTATTTGCAGATGACATGATCCTGTACATTGAAAACCCCAAAAGCTCCACAATAGGAGTACTTACAATAGAGGAATATGGAAGAGTGGCAGGATACAAGATCAACAAACAGAAGTTGATAGATTTGCTAGACATAATGGACAGGACCATGGAAGAGGATATCAAGAAGGCAGTATCTTCACAGTAGCCAAGAACAAACTGAAAAACCTAGGAATATATTAAAAAACAAAAACAAAACTAAAGACCTATACAAGGAAAACTACAAGACCCTACTACAGGAAATCAAAAGCGACCTCCACAAATGGAAGAACATCCCATGCTCATGGATTGGAAGGCTTCACATAGTAAAGATGTCAATCTTACTCAAAACATTTTATAAGTTTAACACTATTCTGATTCAAATACCAACAACCTTCTTCAAATAATTGGGAAAACTGACCACCAATTTCATATGGAGAGGGAAGAAGCCCAGAAGTAGCAGAGAACTACTCTAGAAGGACAAAGTTGGAGGACTCACGTTACCTGATTTTAATACCTACTATACAGCCACAGTGGTCAAAACAGCGTGGTACTGGCACAATGACCAAAACTCAGACCAGTGGAAACGAATAGAAATCCCAGAAGTAAAACCATCAGCACATAGACAACAGATCCTCGATAAGGTTCCCCAAAACATCAAGTGGGAAGCAGATGCCCTTTTTAACAAGTGGTGCTGGAAACAATGGATATCCACATGTAGAAAAATGAAACAAGATGTTTACCTCACCCCATGCACAAGAACAAACTCAAGGTGGATCAGAGACCTAGAAGTAAAACCCCAAACCATCAGGACCTCAAGGAAGGAATCGGGACAAACCTAAGATCATTGGCCCAGGGAATTCATAGGCTCACTGCAATAGGGAAGGTTACACACATAGGTGAACTGGAAATTGACAAATGGGATTTAATAAGAATAAAACACCTGTGCGCTTCGAAAGACTTCACCAAGAGGGTAACAAGGCAACCCACAGACTGGGAGAGGATTTTTAGCAATGACACATCAGACAAAGGGCTCATTACTAAAATCTATAACACCCTCATGGACTGCAAAAAGAGGAAAACAGTTAATCCCCTAAGGAAGTGGGCAAAAGAACTGAAAGGAATTTTCACTAGGGAGGAGACCCGTATGGCCAACAAACACATGAGAAATTGTTCCTATTTATTAGCTGTAAGAGAAATGCAAATTAAAACAGCCATGAGATACCATCTAACATCTCTGAGGTTAATCTGAATCAGAAAATCAGAGAGCAACAAATGTTGGAGGGGATGTAATTAAATAGGAACTCTCCTCCACTGCTGGTGGTCGTGTAGATATGTACAGCCACTGTGGAAAGCAATCTGGCTAGACTTAAAACAGAAATTGATCTAACTTATGACCCAGTCATCCCTCTGCTGGGCATATAGCCAGAGAAGGTAATAAATAAAATATGACCAGTCATCTGCGCTCCAATGTTTATTGCGGTGCAAATTCACAATCACAAAGAGCTGGAAACAATCTAAATTTCCATTGACAGATGAGTGGATTAGTAAATTCTGGTACATACACACAGTAGAATACTATAAAGCACTGAAAAGCATGAATGATGGCAGGAAACATGTCATTTCATGGGAAGAGTTGGAAGGAATTATGTTAAAGTGAGGTAAACTAATCTCAAAAGGTCAAGTATAACATGAGTGCCCCGAGGTAAGTACAATCAGCACAGCAGGAATAGAAGAAAAGGCACCTCCACCCAACTGGGGGGAGGTCAGACCAAACTCAGGGAGGTACATTTGAGCCAACATAAAGAAGGGGAAAGGGGGAAGGAGGAGGGAGAATGGGTGTAGGGAGAAACTGAGATGATGATATGGGGGGAGCAGGGCACTAACCCACCCAGGGAGAGAGTATTGGTTGTGTCTTCACAGAATTGGAGTGTGCATACAGACCCCACCATGACCCGCCAAACCAGGAGGGCAATGTAACACATGTAGGAATCCATGAGAAGACTGGACTACAGGGCTGGCCCCAACCAGAACCAGCCTGACCTCACTCTGGAAGTGTGTGCCACAGAGAAGGACACTAGACCTTCTGGTGGGGAAAGGAACTGACCTACCACACCCAGACGGAAGCAAACCAAGAAGGAAAAAGAGAAAGGGCCAGTCTGCCTCGACTCCATATGGGCACACCAAGCCCAGAGGATGAAGTCCCTGCACGGAGCTGCTGGGGCACAGAGAGGACTGTGGGACACCAACAGCTCAAGCCATGTTGTCCCCTTACTGGAGCATACAGAGACAGGGGACAATAATGTGGACACACAGTGGGGAGACAGTGTGGGAATGGGGAATAACAGATCAGCAATTGGAGTAAAGCCGAGCCACAGAGTCCCTGAGGATCCCTAAGAATGGACTTCGGGCAAGGAGGGGCAGCCCCCAGATCTCCCTCAGGACCAGCAGGCAGGGTCTCATGGAGACCAGCAAACAGACCTGGACCTATGTAGGTTTTTTTCTTTATTTCTTTTCTCTCATCTTTTTCTCTTTCCTTTTCTTTATTCAACCATATGTATTCTAATTGTTTGGATTAGGACGTGGATGGTTTGCCTAATTATATAGTTTGAACATGGGAGGGAAGCCTGGGGAGAAGGCAATGGGGCAATGGCCCCAGAAGGTAGAGGGGGAAGAAGGAGGTGGGGAGAAGGGTGTGGTGAGCAGGAGGCATCATGGACAGGAGAACAACTAGGGAACTGGAACCAGCATCTAGGAGAGGGTAGAGATCCTGTGAGTATTAGAGCAACACCAAGCTATGGAGAGGATGCACTAAGAGGTAGAAAAAGGGGGATAGTGATGGCGGGGCAGGAGGAGGCAAAAGGAAACAGAGGCAAGCTCTAGGAAGCAAAGGCATAATAGGGAGATTAACAGAGGTGTGCACTTATGCAAATACATTAATCCATAACAAGAGTGGTATTGGCCTATGCACATATATTTATAAGGCAATACACTGAACCTGAAGACTGGCCTTGGGCCTTGGCTCATACTTTCCCTCAATACAAGAACACTTTGTTCTAACAAACTGGCATTCTGTGATGTTCACCCCTGCCCCGCCTACACGATCGCTGAAGAAAAATGGGTGCATAAGCAGATGTGGTGAAGACAGAGGATGGTGCCCGGCTATTAAAAGATACAGTGTCCGGGGTCTTAAAGGCTTGAAGTTAAACAAGCAGCCATCCAACAGTGAAGCAACAAACTCACATGGAAGAAGCACACCAGCCGGTGGGATCCTGAGGTGTCATCGAGACTTGGCAATGGGCATGAGAAGATTCACAACAGACAGTAAACAAACAAAAATGCAACCGTGTGAATGGAGGGGGGTTGGAGCAGAGACCCAAAGCCCATCTATGGACAATGGCGCATCCCCTCACTGAGGGGTCACAGGGAGGGGGTGAGTCAATCAGGGAGCAGTAGAGCACTAATGGGTCACACAATATACATCTGCTCCCGGAGGCCTCCCCACCCCCTGCTATCATGACCTCAGTGCTACCTCCCAATCTAGACTAGATGGGAGTATGTACATAGGTAAAGGCAAGAGATAAAACTCACACCACATGGAACCCAGGGACAGGAACGGGAATGGTGATAATAAAAGGGGAAAGGGAAGGGGCGCAGAGGTGGGGAGGGAGGGGGGTACCAATCATAATGAATGGCACATAACCACACACACACCCAGCCAGGGGGAAGAACAACAGAAACCAGAGAGGAAGGGAGATGGTGGTCAGAGTGAGACTTGAAAATAATTAACAATCTACAATCTATCAGGGGGCCACGAGGGTTGGGGTGGGGTGGGGGAGGGAGGGAAAAAAGAAGAGCTGATCTCAAGGGCTCAATGGAAAATAAATGTCTAGAAAAGAATGATGGAATATATGCATGAATATGTTGGACAATTGATTTGTGGGTTGTAACAAGAGCTGTAAGAGCCCCCAATAAACTGATTTAAAAACTTCTAGATTGGATTTTAGACCAGGAAAAAATTTTGGGTCTAAAATCCAATGTAGAGTATATAATTATTTATAAATAATTAAAAAAAACAAATCTAGCATCATAAAAGCATGCAAACCTTTACTGACAGACAAGTGGTAGCTGCACATGCAGCACATTGGCTGGGAATTGAACTCAGGTCTGCTGCATGGAAGGCAAGCATTCTACCACTGAACCACCAATGCCCCTCTTACTTATGTCTCCCAAATCAAAATCAAACACACTGCCATTGAGTCTGTTCCAACTCACAGTGACCATACATGGGGCTTCTGTGGCTACAAATCTTTAATGGAGTAGATATTCTCATCTTCCCATGGAGGTGCTAATGGATTCGAGTCGCCAACCTTGCAGTTACGAGTCTAACCCCTAAGTACAGCATCACCAGAGTCCCTTTATTAAGCACTTAGTGCGTAATCATTACGTTTTAAGTGAATAAATGACATCATATGAAATAAGTAATTAGTTGCACGTCTCCAAGTTGAAGAGCCAAGGTGAGGCTGATCTCTCAATAGCAGATTGTTTTGAATTTCCCTGTCGATATATAAAGGAAGAATTCTTTAGTTCTAAAACTGTGATCATATAGCTTGACATTAAAGTGATGGGTCCTGACTGCGAATTCTTGAGTTTAACAGAATAACTTTTATTTCTGCAATCCCTAATGGATTGTAGAGTATTTACCTATACATGATCAGCGATCATGTGTATTTTCAGCAGGGCTTGTGAAGGAGGCTCTGAGAAGGATCTTTGATCCAGGTCTCTTCATCTCTCCTTCAAGGAAAATCTTACAATTTAGATTGATTCCCTGAGACCCAAACTCCAGGGGTCCCTTAGGTCAGAATCTGCTGGGTTCCTCAGTTACTTAGGAGTCTCTCTAATGCTATTTACATCTGTCTGGCTCTATCATTAGTAATCTTCGATAAGACCAGAAGAGGGAATGTTTTCCTGATGGAATCCTTTTCTTTCCTTTCTTTCACGAAAACCAGAGAACTGCTTAGCAATATGATAGTCAAGTTGGTCTACTTTAATGAACACAATCAGGTGCAAAAGGCAGCTCTAAGGTTGCCAGCCAAGGCAGCGTGTCTGTGGTTGATGCATCTGTCTCACCAGCATGGGTGTGACTATTTGACCTGAATACATAACAATGGGAGGGGATTATGCATAAGAGATGACAACTCAAAATGAACGGTCCTACCACAATGATTATTTTCCCATAAACTAATAGGTGGAGCGAGGAGGAGTCCAATCACTTGGGACGATTCATGATGGCTTGGGAACCACCGTATCCAAGAGGAGAACTGTATTTCTTAGTGTGACAAATGCTAGTAATAAAACGAAAGAGGCCTGCTGATCAGAGGGTTATGCAATGAGTTACACATTGGATTGCTAACTTAAAAGTTAGCTGTTCAAACCCACTAGCTGATCTGAGAATGATGAAGCTTTCTACATCTACAACAATTTCATAGCCTTGGAAACCCAAAGAGGGCAGTTCTACTCTGTCCTCTAGGGTCCGACTATGAATCCCAATGGACTCATTGGCAGTGGACTTGATTGATTGGCTTTAGTCATACAATCTAGGGCAATACCCCAAATGGCTGAGGGAAAAAGCTGCAAAGCTAAGACTAGACTAGCAAGCATAAGCATGGCAATAAATCATCACCCAGGGAAAGGGAGGAGGAACAGTATGAAAATAGAGCTGGGCCCTGTTTGGAGGCAACTTGTCCCCAAAGATAAGATCGCTGCCTGTCACTGTTCCCCAGGCAGCTGCATCAGCAATTCCCCGGCTCTGTTAAACACCTCTATGTTGTCGTGGACAGACACTTTTAAAAAGTGGAAAGTGTTCACAAACCAACCTGGCAGCCACCACTTCCATATTCATTCATACTAGTATTTCCAGAGTCCTGATGGCATAGTGGTTATGCATTGGCTGCTCACCACAAGGGCAGCAGTTTGAAACCACCAGGTGCTCTATGGAAGAATGACAAAGCTTTCTACTCCTGTAAAGATTTGCCTTCTTGGAAAACCATGGGGGCAATTCTACCCAGTCCTGTAGGGTTGTTATGAGTCACAATTGACTCAATGGTAGTGAGTGGTTTGGAGAGTATTTCAGGTAAAGGTAACCAGACTAAGAGAGTGTGTCGAACTTGGCACCCTTACATATTGTTGGCAGAAATGAAAAATGGTTTAGCCACAGTGGAGACATTTAGCTGTTCCTCAAAATGTCCATCATAAAACTGTCACATGATTTAGCAATTCCACTTCTAGGTATACCCAAACCTCACTGCCACTGAGTCAATTCTAACTCAAGTTGACGCTATAAGACAAAGTAGTACTACACCTCTGCCTTTCTGAAACTGGAATTCTTTACAGGTGGAGAGAGCCTCCTCTTTCTCCCGAGGAGTGGCCAGTGATTTCTAACTGCTGGCCTTGCAGTTAGCAGCTCAATGCGTAACCCACGATGCCCCAGGCTCCTGCTCCTACGTGTACGTATGTCCCCAAGAGTGAAAGCAGAGACTCAAACAGATCTTTGTATGCCAACGTGCGGTTGTATACCTGGTGGCTCAGGTGTTGGACTGCTAACCACAAGGTAAGCCTTTCACACCCACCAGTGAGAAATAGCCCAAGTGTCTAGCAGCAAATGAACGGACAAACAAAATGTGGTACACCCATAGATTGGACCATTGTGTAGCCATAAAGAGGGATGCAGTCTGGAGATGTGCCATGGCATGGATCAACCTCAATAACATCACAAGTGAAATAACTCAGGCACAAAATGATAAATAGCCAACGATTCCAATTAGATGGGATGCCTAGAGAAGGCAAAACCCTAGGGACATGCAGGACAACAGAGGTGACGAGAGGCTGGAGGGTGGGCAAATGAGGAGTTACTATTTAATCAATACAGACTCTGCTTGGAGTAATTACAATCATATTGAGAATTTAACCAATGTTATAGAAACATTCACTTATAATGGTGAAACCTGGTCAATTTTATGTATATAAAAAAGTATACATTTAAAAATGTGACATGGACAATATTTAAATTTTTGATACTTCTTGTGACAAAAAATCAAAAGAAAGCACAAAAATTAGAGAATGTTCTTTGAGACAACAGGCCAGGAAGATGTAATAGAAAGGATGAACAATGTCGAGAGTAAGGATTAGAACCTGGGGAGAGGGACAAGTTGAAGTTCTAAGAATACTTGGGCTTAGGATAGAACCTTGGACTGGGATCCGAGAGGTTAGCAGTTTGGGACACCAAAAGAAGGCGTGGGGTTAAGGGTGACTACATCAGGGTGACCTGATGCTGGTGTTGCTGATGCCAAAACTTCCCTAGAGAGCAAACTGTCATGAATTTCTCCAATTAAATGAACAGAAGCAAAGAGCAGTTTGTGTCTGACCCAAGGCAAGCTTCCTCTTTTTCAGTCCTCCTTGCTACCACTGACCCATTTCCTCTGATTCTGGCATGTTCTCCCTCACAGATGCGGCTGACACCGTCCACAGAAGCCCCCATGTAGCAAAAGTGCAAGTATACTTCAAGATCCCCACTGCACAGCCGTGGACCTCTGGTGGCACAGTGGACTAAGCAAACATCTGGCTACTAACTGAATGTTGGGGCTTTGACCTTACCAACGGATCCCCAGGAGAGCGATGAGGCAGTCTGCTTCCGCAAAGACTGGCCACCTGCACAGCCGTTCTACTGCCTGGTAAGGGAGTTTTGAGTTGAAAGTCGACTGACTGGATGGCAGTGGGTTTGGTTTCGTTTCAGCTGCTATGCAGCGACTGCCTTGCTAATTAGCTTGTGGATATGATGCACATTAGTCATCTATCTGCTTCCCAAGTATAAAAAAAAATCCATATGGCTATTTAACAAGGTCACAAGTGCTGGGTGCCACCATTAGATCTGCTTGGAGGAAATCCAACCTGGTTGCACTGTGGGAAATGGAGCTCCCAAGAGATGGCTAGCTCCGCTATAGGAAAGCTGCAGAAGGGCTCACAAAGGCCTTGAGAGAGTGTCTGATGCGTGTGTGTCTGCTCCCAAACCGAAGGCTTTCAAGGTTCTGCCTCTTTATGTTAGTAACCTCCAGCGACGCCACTTGTTTCAAATCACTTCGCTTTCATCAGTTTGGGCTATGAGCAAACAGATGGGGATTCCTTTAAGGTGAGACTTCTCACTTTACTCAATTAATCAAGGAAAGTGATGTCTCTCTTATTTACATGGCAATTTACAGAACCAGATGGAACCACACGTTATGGACACACTATCACAAAGGCTACAGGGAGTGTATTCCTGCCGATGTTGATCCTAGCTGTGCCAGTGAGGAGATGGATCATGTCCCATTGAGAGGATTCTAACTCACAGTGGCCGGTGGGACAGAGTAGAACACCCATCGGGTTTCCTAGGCTGTACTCGTTATAGGGTCAGATCACCAGGCCTTTCCTCTGACAGAGCATTGGTGAGTTCAGACACTAGTTAGTTAGTTAGTTAGTTAGTTAGTTAGTAAGCCGGTGGATAACCATTACACACTGGAATGGGCTCTGTGGCCCCTGGAAAATCACCTAGCCTCTCGGAGCTTTTGTTCGTTTCTTTTTTCTCTTTGTGAAAGTAAGGATTGTAGTAGCTATCCGAAGACTGTAGAGAAACATGTTTTATATAGTGAAAAGTGCTAGGTCATAAAAGATCAGCAACATTCCCGCTCATAGGTGGCTCAGATGCACAATGAGATGCACTTAGGAAGCTAATGGGGCCGTCTGACAAGAGAAAGATGGTAAGCGAAAGATCCCAAAGAGATAAGATGCATCATATAGTGTAACCCTGCAACATAAATTGGATCAGCACTTGGACGTACTAACCCACCAATAATCTCAGTGAGTTTACATTTAAATGGACAAGGGATTTTGTTCTTGGTCATTGTTGTTGTTTCAGCGGGGCTGTAGGGAACATGAAATTGGTGGAGTTGCTTTTATAACTTGGCAAACGGGTACATTTTAAGACAATGGTAGTGCTAGGCCATTAGAAGTCTGTGATCTTGAAGAGCCTTTCTGTTCTATCCCTGTCTGATTTCACACTCTCTCTCTCTAATTTTTTGTGTTATTTGCTCCATAGAATTGAGACCTAGTCATAAGCCCCTGATTACTTCACATGCTGGGTGGAGCGGCCTTGCCTCAAAGCGGGAAGCGCTGGCAGCCATTCAATGTGTGATTCATTGCCGTATGGATGGCATGGATGGGTCTCCACACTGGGATCAGTCCTTTGCCTGCTCTTCCTAACCAGGGCAGGCCCTGCTACCATCCGAGCCGTGGGAACAGAAGGTGAAAACTACGTCTGTCCGCCATCTGCATGTGATGACTCTAAATAAAATTCTTCCCTGGTCTTCAGGGTGGAATGCCAAATGCACCAACAATAACGGAAAGTGTTGGCATGGCCACCTCTTCTTGGCATTTAAAGCTAGTGTCCAATCTCTCGCCCCTAGAATGCCCTCTGTTGACATAAAGCTCCCTGTTCCCCTTAAGGGTCACACGATAGGTGTACACGCCTAGTTCCCTTTGCTACCTTTCTTTGCTGCTTGTTTTTCTTCCTGCCCCTAGGTTGCCATCAAGTCAGCTCCCACTCACGATGGCTCTGTGTGTGTCCCATTAGAACGGTACTCCAGAGGGTTTTCAGTGGCTGTCTTTTCAGAAGGAATTTCTTCCGAAGTGCTTAGTGCATGTGGCTCCAATGGTGTCGTGGGTGATGCGATCAGCAAGTCCAACCCACCAGCAACCCGGAGGGTGAGAGAGGGAGCCGTCTGCTCCTGGCCGGAAGGGTTCGCGGCCTCAGAAACCCAAAGGGAGCCTGGGAGTTGGAACCGAGTAAATGGCAGTGGGTTTGATTTGGGGTTTGGCTCTCATAACTCAGACCTTCTCATCCATCACAGATCTAGGCAACATTGTCCCAGCCCTGCTAATATCAGTCTCTGTTACTGACTGTCAGGTACCAGTAACCTGAAGTGCTCAGAACAAGTTGACTGTTTATTTATGAACCCATCGACAATACATGTACCAGAAAGGAAGTTTTAAAAAGGCAAGGTAGCCTTGAAAATCTGGAAGTCGTCATTCCTTTTGCCATGTGCTGCCCTTGTGCAGTGTTAGCCAAGGACCTTCTGAGCCGTGAGATTGTCTTTGGAAGTTGGAGTGTTTGGTTTAGGTTTGCCTTTGCTGTTTTTCAAGTTTAATGCTTTTTGTGTTTCATACCTAGTGGTTGGAATTTTATTACGTGTTTCTGCTGAATTTGCTTCGCTTTCAAGCCTATGACCAGGAAGGAGTTGTCTGCCTTTATGTTTGCATGGCTTAAAAAAAAAAAAGTTTTTTATTTGCTAATTCATTGCTAATAAACATCATATTAAAAAGTCTAATTTTGATGCAGCAATGTTTTTTATTACTGAGTTTGTAGGCATTGTTGAGGAAATTAAGAAAGGATAGCTTGGCTCTTAAACTCATTTGCAAAATCTTGAGTTGATTAAAGTTTGCTTTTGTTTTCTTTCGGTTATTCATTTATGTTAACTGTAGCAGATATAAGGGGGTTGCTAAAACTAATGGAAAAATGACATTATCTTTTCATTCCCTTTATCCATAAATTTTTGGAAGCTTATTCATACATGAGTAGCAAATCATTAGTTATTTCAACCATCTTCACATGTGTCCATTCAGTGACATTAGTCATGTTTGTCATGTTATTCCATCACCACCCAGCATTTGCATACCTCCTCAATGATTCCAGAAGTAGGCTTACAGAGAATCTTGCTTAGACATCCCTTCTGCTCTCAGGGACCTCCTCACAATTATTGGGTGCCATTAATGTGTTCTTTAGATAAATAGTGATGAGGTGGGGAAATAGGGAAGGGTGAGGAATATGGGTGTTGGGGAGAAGTTTGGAAACATAAATGATGTGTGTTGGAGCGCTTGGTGTACAGACTTGGATTTCTATGTTCACCACATGTTCTCATCACTCACCATTGCATGATTCAACCACTCTGAAATGATCTCCTCTAGGCCCTTGGGGTAAATAAGCTCTCGGTCGTACAGAAAGAGTGCCCAGAACGCCACACAGACATACTGGAAAACAAAACAGCACCAGAGATTCATTAGGTTTGTTTTCAATCCGAGCATTCTGAGATTGCTAAGGATGCATAACAAAATAAAAATAAGTACTACTTTTAAAGATATCTTATATGTACATTAAGGAGCTCTGGTGATGCTGTTGGGTAGGCGTTGGGCTGCTAACCATAAGCTGGATGGTTCAAACCCAACAGCCATTCCATGAAAGAAAGATGAAACTGTCAGATCCCATAACAATTTTTGAAGCCTAGGAAGCCCTACAAAGGGTCGCAATAAGTTGGAACCAACTCTGTGGTGGTGGGATATATACAAGCACCGTCACCAAACCCACAACCATTAAACTCATTCTGATTCCTACTCCCCACTCTAGGATAGAGTAGAACTTCTGCCTAGGGTTTCCAAGGCTCTAAATCTTTGTATGAGCAGAAAGTCTCATGTTTCTTCCTGGTAGCAGCTGGTAGGTTTAAACTAATATCCTTTGGTTAGTAGCTCAACACTTAAGCCACTGCAATACCAAATATATATATATAGATATATATATGTATATATATGTATGAGAGAGAATAATGAAACAAATATTTTGTTTTAGAATTGTTATGTTCACTCTTTCTAGGAATTTCTTAGCCAGAAACTTAAGAGATATTTACCATAAAGCCTGCAAAAATGGAAACATGTAAGGTGAAAACCTGTTAGAGAAGGTAAACTCAAACGTAGTCCAATAATCCTAGAGAGAGAAAAGTGGTCAGACTGCACCCTGTCAAAGGCAGAAGGCTTGCCTGACCTAGAAAAATATGACCGCTCAGTCTAGTTCTGCCTCTCAGGTGTCATGGCTCACAGGTGTTGTCATGGCAGGCAGAACAGATGTAGACACCCAAGACTCATAGGCTGCTGAGTCCTTTCATTTTAACCAAGGACTCTTGGGTTTTCACCAGGAAGTTGAGGATGGTCACACTGCATGCCTGGAGTCTTATGTTTGCTTCCCCCAGCTTCCATACAGGCATGGTGACAGGAAGTGAGAACTCTGGGAGAGAGGATGAGAAGTGACAGGCTCCCAGGATAATTCCCAAACTAGTTAGCCAAGACATGAATCTCCATTTCTCAAAACTTTGGATGGTTCTCTATCCTTTCCTGAGCCTTGGCTGTCTTATCAAAACCATCTCTTCTCTATGTTCCAAAGTCAGGGCAGAGATTGAAGAACCCTGATTGCTAATCTTCTCATCTCCCTATCTGCTCACATTCCATTGGATATATATATATATATATATATATATAAAATGGGCAGCCTCCATTGTTAAAGGCTTAGCCTTTAGAAGGTTGATGGGTGAGAGAGACTGCCCAGCAAAAGACAACTGGAATGCCAGCATTCACTGCTTCTTTTCCGTGACTTCCCTGGTGGCCGGAGAGTTTCATCGCACTTGTAAGTTTCAAGGCTCAGTACAGAGGGAAGCAGGACAGCGACAGGTGGAAGAAGGTAGTAATTTCTTATGCTAGACCCACTAAGCAGACGGTGTGCCCAAGCTCAGTTTGTCCTATGACAAGTCATAGAAATGTGGACAGTGGCAACCAATAAACTCAGAGTCCTCCACACTCATTAAATCTGGAGTTAATATATGTATGCATAATATATAAATATGAGATTATACGTGTGTAATGTCTATGTTTACATATTCATTCAAAATGTCATATCATTGCACTACATCTCACAGAAATAATGGGTGCCTATGGTAGCCAGTGAAGCCTGGTACATAAATCATCTCCCTGCCCGGGCGGGTTCCATTGTCCCCATCACTTGATGGAACCATGGTTTTCTCAGTTTCAATTTGAGGACAGTCCTTGAAGCTTCCCATTTAGAAAGAAGTCTTGGACCAAATTGTGACCAAGCTCCAAAAGCTAGCTTCCAATAGAGTTGGTCAGGGATCTGCCTGATCCTCTGAGCACTGGGCAACATCCAGCGATCTAAAGACAGAGCCGTCACTGATATGTAGCTGCTCTGGGTAACAATAAAGGGCTCCTGAACAGCCTTGCTCTGCAGGAGAAGTGACCTCCACACAGCTAGGTGTCTTGGATGACCTCCCCATCGCTGTAACTTACTGTGGATATAGGAAAAGCGATGCAGGTGAAAAGCAGGTTTCTGAAAGCAGTTATGAACTTGATGTCCTTTTTCCTTGTTATTCCTTTCAGCACGTCGTCCAGGCAGGCGGCCCCATGGAAAATGGCCTGTAAGACCTAAGTTCAATACAACAAATGAGGACATTTTCATTTGCCTTCATTCATCCATTCTTCACTGATGTAAAACTCCGCCCCTCCGGGAGTAATGCCGATTTGGGGAGGAGGCGGTTGTTAGGCTGCTTGGGTGGAGAGCCAATTCAAGGGCTGGACTTGCAGCTCAGTGGGCTCCTACCTTACTCACTAAAACTGATTGAAGAACGTCATTTAGGGGATAATAATATGTACAGTATTCAGCATCATGGGCTCTAGCTAAAATGGATACAAACTCGAGAGTCAGCTTAAAAGAAGAATGTAATGAGATGGATACCTTGACGGCACAGAGGTGGGAAGAACTGAATTCGCAGCACAACAGAAGAGATGCAGATACCAGGAGAGACCCCAGTGTGGTCTCCATCAAGGAGAAAAACTGAAGCAGAAAGTGCCTACATCTGAGCTAGAGGTCAGAGAAGTGGGAGTCCGGGTTCGGAGAGCTGTGAAGGGGCCTTGGGCCCAGCTGACAGCCACCTCCATTACCCGAGAGAGGAACAGGTTCTTCCCATTGAACAACGATGCCACCAGGCTGTGCGGAGAAAATCTGGCTGAAGGACTGACTTAAAACTAGAGGCACAGAGAAAGCAATGGGGCTCCGGCAAGTCACTAAGTACCCTGGGGTCTCCCTCTGCGGCCAGGAAATGAGAAACAGAACCCTTTTCACGGCAGGCATGGCATGCCTCCCACCAGTACATCAGTACTGTGCTGGCTTGAGTGTTGCTGTGATGCTGAGATTTCAAACAGCAGTTGGGTCACCCACAGAGGACAGGCCTCAGTGGAGTTTCCCACGCTCAGACAGACTAGGAAGAGAAGCCTGGTAATCTAGCTCCAAAAAGTAGCCAATGCAAACCCTGGGATTCACAACATTGTCTGCTACAGCACTGGAAGATGAGACCCTTAGGTAGGAAGACAGTCCAAATACACAGTGGCTACAACAATGGACAGAAGCATATCAACTCTCATGAAGGCAGCACAGGACCGGGCGTTTCTTATGCCATAAAAGGGGTCACTGGGAGGTAGAGTGGAATGGATGACAATGGGCAACAGCTGTAAGACATCTATGGCCAAAGGCTGGTTCTTGTTATTTGGTACAAACCAGTGAATTCTGATCGAAGGCCTGATGGTCATCACAACACAGTTTGGGTGATGTGTGTCATGCGTATATCGAATGCATTGTAGTCCTTAAATTGAAATGGAAAAGGAGTTTGGACGGTGTTGGTATGAGTCAGCAAAGTTCTCGAAGCTGGAGAACCAGGTCAAAGATCAAGTCTGTGGTGGGAAACAACCCCCCTGAAATCTGAGCTCTAAGAAAGCACTGACCGGCTGGACTTCTGGCTACTTCCTGGGTTGAGGGAGCGGGTGGGAGAGCAGGCAGAGGCAGATCAGGTTAGCGTTACTCCTAATGGGGCCCAGGGGCCAGTAACACCCACATCACTTTCAAGCTTCTTAGAAATTGGACTTTCCACTCAACCCCCAAAGATGGAATCACAATTTCTGGGGGGTGGTTTGATTTGTAATAAGATCCCCAGTTGATCTGTATGGTGAAGTTTGATAACCACTGGCTTAGACCTGAAGGTGTCACATTCAAGTTGTTATTCACTACTCAGCGACCCCCTGTGCGTCACAGAGTGACCCAGAGTGACCCCTGTGGGTTTCTGAGACTGTACT